CCTTCACTCATCCTAGGAACCGGTCCTCACCTTCGCCCCGGGCCGCTCTAGAGCCGGGGCCGCGCGGCCAAGCGGGCGCGGGCTCCCACAGGCTCGGGCATGGGCGGCAGCGGCCGCATGTAAATCGGCACCCTGCCCCCACGCCCCTCCCCCCAAGAGGCGGGCGCGGGCGGGGAGCGCGGGGGAGGGACGTGGCCGGGAGCGGTAGGGGCGGGAGCGCGCGGCGGCCGGTGCTGGCTGGTCAGAGAGCAGTGGGGCGCATCAGCAGCTTTCCCAGCGGCCTCCTATACTCCCAGGCCCAGCCCGCTGCTCGCGCGCTTTCAGGCGCCAGCATGTTCGTGCGCTCGGCCGCTCCTGGGCGCTAGCAGCCGCTGGACAGCTCTCCTCAGGGACCGTGGCAGTCTGCCACGGAGTAGCGGGCGCAGGCCTGCCGCATTCCGACACAGGGCCGGTCTGGCTGCCGCCACCCGCTCTGCTCCCGCGCCGCGTCCCCCCGTATGGATGTTCTTCAGGCAGTATGCAGCCAACCCTTGGCCAGCGCTCCCCAGAAAAGGCCAATCTGAGCGCAGCGCGGAGGGCGCGCTCCAGGCCTCCCTGGCTCCTGCGAGCAAAGCTCCGCGCTGCCACCGCCTCCGGAATCCAAGCCCAGCGGGCTGCGCGCCCGGGTGCGGTTAAGAGCGCAGGGACACCAAAGGCAGTGCGTCCCGACTCGCTCGTGAGGAAAAGCAGAGAGCGGACGAAGCTTTGCAGTCTTGCCACGTCTGTGGAAACAGTGGCGGGGTCCGGCTGCTGGGATCCGGGCCGCAGGGGCTCCAGACGGGCTCTGCCAGCTGGCGCGAGCGGGCGTGTGCGGAGCTGTGCGCACTGGCTCGCCTTAGCGCAGACTGGCGCCTCCTATTGATATTTAAAGGGTTTTTATGTGCACAGGATCAGATGGACTCCTGTTTGGAGGTGTGTCCCCTCCTGCACAAAGCCAGTGGAGTCAGAGGCTGAAGATACTGGGTAACAGATGTATTCGCGTGAGGGCTGAATGTGCACCCCTACACTGGATGACTTCTTGAAAGAGATGCTGGTGCTGCAGATAATCTTGTGCCATTAGGCCTTACACTTAGCTATATGCTAATTTATAGTAATTTACCTTAAAAAGAAAAAAAGGTAAGATCTGTAAATGTCTGGATGAGCTCCTCACAGACATCTGCTAGTAGTAAGTGAAATGCAGAGCGATTTGCACGAAGAATCTTCTTGGCTTCCCCCCTTGAGTGTGCACAGAAACAGCGTCACAAAGGTACGGGTGTGCGGAACTGGGAAAAACACTGAGGAAAGACTTGATAAAGAACCAGTCTCAGCGTAGTATATGATGATGGCACAAAACCTTATTTGTCAGCTCTTCCCAGATTTCTTTATTTCCTGTGGAAACCGAGGAGGAGATGTTTATTGATAAGCTCCTAAGAAAGAGAGCCAGGGTCCTTCCTGGTCCTACCTGACGCTTGATAATTAAGTCAGCACACTTATCCTAAAATCCTCAAAACCCTCATTGCCCTCTAGTGGGGACCCACAACTAGATGACCTTCCACTTGATTTCCGAGTCTGTAAGTCACAGGGAAAGAGACTGCCCACCAGAGAGGCATGGCCTTTGGGTTAGCAGCACGAGTCCCAATAGAGGAGGCCACCAGAACTCCCTTGTTCTGTAATAATATACACAGAAAGGAAGTTGTCATGGTTCTTGTTATGTGTCATCGAGTTGCTTGCAACTCATAGCGACCCTATGTACAATTGCCCTAAAGCCCTTCTTTATCCTCACCGTCTCCAACACACTTACTCTCACCACCCCAATCACAGAATCAATCCATCTCATCGAAGGTCTTCCTCTCCTGCACTGTCCCTCCACTATCCCAAACATGATGTCCCTCTCCAAGGACCAGTCCCTCCTTGCAACATGCCCAAAGTATGTCAGACGAAGCTTCAGAATTCTTGACTCCAAATAGCAGTCCAGCTTTACCCTCTCCAGGACAAACCTGTTTGTTGTCCTAAGTCCATGGTATATTCAACACGCTTCACCAGCACCACAGCTGAAAGGCATCAATTCTCTTTCTATCATCCCCATTTACTGTCTGTCTAACGTATAGCACGGAATTGTGAAGACTATAGCCCAGAACACTTGATCGTTCTAATGCGAAACTTATACTTGGACCAGGAGGCAGTCGTCAGAACAGAGCAAGGGAACACTGCATGGTTTCAAAATTGGGAAGGGCGTATGCCAGGGATGCATCCTATCTCCATACCTTTTCAACCTATATGCAGAACAGATTATCCGGGAGGCTGGGCTCTATGAGGAGAAATGTGGGGTCAAGATTGGTGGACGATTTATCAACAATCTGCGCTATTCAGATGACACAACCCTGCTTGCTGAAACTGAAGAGGACCTGAAGCACCTGCTGCAGAGGGTCAAGGACTGCAGCCTACAATATGGATTGAGGCTCAATGTCAAGAAGACAAAGATTCTCACCACTAGACCAATTGGCAGCATCAGGATGGATGGTGAAGAGATTGAGATTGTACACAGCTTTAGTTTGCTTGGCTCCATAGTCAACAGTCTTGGCACCAGCAGCCAGGAAATTAAAAGGCGCATTGCCATGGGAAAGTCTGCTGTTAGGGACCTCTCCAAAGTGCTGAAGAGCAATGGTATCTCTTTGGAGACTAAGGTGCGTCTGATACAGGCCATTGTCTTCGCAATCACCTGTTATGCATCAGAGAGTTGGACAATGACCAAGGAGGATAGAAGGAGAATTGATACCTTTGAGCTGTGGTGCTGGAGAAGAGTATTGAGAATACCATGGACTGCTAGGAAAACAGATTTGTCCTGGAAAGGGTTAAACCGGGTGATTCCTTGGAGGCAAGGATTCTGAGGCTCCGTCTAACATAATTTGGACATGTTGTGAGGAGAGACGGGTCCTTGGAGAGGGACATCATGCTTGGGAGGGTGGAGGGACAGTGCAGGAGAGGAAGGCCCTCTATGAAGTGGATTGATTCAGTGACTGGGATAATTGGGATGGGAGTGTCAGAGACAGTGCGATTGACACAGGACAGAGCGGAGTTTAGGGCTGTTGTACATAGGGTCGCTATGAGTCGCAGGTGACTCGACGGCACATAACAACAACATAGCCCAAATCAGGTGCACCTTAGTCTCCAGCCTGACATCATTATTCTTCAGTAATCTGGAGAGGTCCCTGACAGCTGACTTTGCAAATGCAATTTGTCTCTTGATTTCCTGACTGCTGGTACCAAAAGTGTTGACTGTGGAGCCAAGCAAACTAAAACTGTTAACTATCTCAATCTCTTCACCATCCATACTGATGCTGCCAATTGAGAATCTTTGTTTTCTTGATGTTGAGCTTCAATCCATATTGAAGACTGAGGTCCTTGACCTTCTGCTGCAAGTGCTTCAGGTCCTCCTCAGTTTCAGTAAGCAGGGTTGTAACATCTGCATAATGCAGGTTGTTGATGACTCTTCCACAGTCCTGATGCCACATTCCTGCTCTTACAGCCCAGCATCTGGATGATCTATTCTGCATACAGATTGAAAAGGTATGGAGACAGAATACCTCCCTGGTGGAGCCCCCTTCTTGATTTTGAACCATGTAGTGTCTCTTTGCTCTGTTCTGACGACTGCCTCTTGGTCCAAGTATAGGTTTTGCATTAGCACAATCAAATGTTCTGGGATTCCCATTCTTCTCAGGGTCAGCTTATTGTGATCCACACAGTCAAAACTCCAAAATCTCTGTAAATGTTCATTAAAATTAATAAAATAAGATTTTAAAAAATAAAATAAAAAATTTTAAAAAAAGCTTTTGCATAGTCAATGAAGCACAGATACTGTATTTACAGATGCACCCTATACTGCACAGAGTGCAGGCAACAGGCGATTCATTCCAAATGGAATCCCTTAGATTTGCTGCTCACAAGCTTGTTTGGCACAGACACAGTCAATAGATTATTTTATGGCAATAATACTGATTCCAGCTCTTTCTTTGGTCAGATTGAGACTCTTCCCTTAAGAAAGCTTTTGATTTTAAGTTTGACAGGCCATGCCTTTAATCCAATGTGGAATGATGGTTCAAAGAACTGCAATTAGGGAAGAAAAAAATACCACAGACCCATAGTGTATATTCCTTCAGTTTTCCAATATAAGGCAAAGTCTTTAGACAAAAAGGAAAGCAATCTCTACTTTCTTCAGGTGCTGGGTAAGCATTTGCCCCCCAAGCCTTTCCCAACTTACCACCGCAAAACACTATATAGTTATAGCTAATGCTACTATTGTAAATTGGAGACAGAAAATAACATTTTTAAATATTGTTCCCCAGTATTCTTGCAGGGTTTGGGTGACATTTGCACACTAATTTAAAGGTCAGTGGTTTGAATCCACCAGTTGCCCTCCTGGGAGAATGATGTGGCAATCTACTTCATAAGAAATGCACTCATGGAAACTCCATGGGGCGGGTCTACTTTCATCCTGAAGTTCCCCGGTGAGTTAGAACCAACTCTAGGGTAGTGGGTTTGGTCTTTGTCCCTACTGTTTCACATTTCTTTCTATCCTGGAATAAATCCAGTGTGCATGAGGTAGTGGTGTGGTCTGCAGCCACACAACCTTCACTCTGTGTCAGTTCACTACCCCGGACAGCCTTTCTATCTGGCTCTCCAAACCCCCTCCATTTCTTATTTCCACTTTGCTTTAAGTACTTATTCAGTGTTCCCTGTTGAACTCATTTTCTCTCAGATCCCAAGCCACTGCACTTGGGATCTACCTATTATTATTATTATTATTATTATTATTATTATTCTACCTAT